CATAGCATCTTATTTTCAGGAAATGGTGAAGGAAAAGAAGTTCCTATTTACTTTTGACGCCACTAAAAGAGCTCGTTTTGGTATCCTTCCTCGATATGCTAAAAATGAGCTGCTAATCAGATGGTTTGAGCTTCCAAATTGCTTCATATTCCACAATGGTGAGCAACTGATTTCATATATACCATAGAGTTGAAAATAAAATGCTCTCTATGTTTTCCACTTCATGGTCTCGCGTCCTACTAAAATCTTGTTTGGGACGGATTAAAATCCAATTACAATTGAAAATATAGCCGTTATTGAGTCCCACTCGTCTAATAAAAGTCAACTCCAACGGCTATATTTTCAATTTTAATCTGATTTTAATCCTTCCCAAACAAGCTCTGAATATTGAGTATTAACTTGTTTTCTCAGACTTCTTGAGAGTTGATGAATAGCCAAGCTATAGTTACAGGTACGAGATTCTTAAGAGGTACAAATCCACGTTGATCTACTTGTTGACTGAACTGCAACCAAATTAGCTTTCCTACAAATAGTTTTCATTTATTTTCCCATAATTCGATATTTCTTCAATACATGAAAACACTGAAGCATTATATTCGAGCCATACAGTGACATACATTTAACAGTTGGTACAACTGCACAAGTATAGTGCTTTTTCTAATAGCTATCCTCACCAGTTTCTGGCCTCCGAAGGTAGTAACGCAGGCAATTCACAAGCACCTGCACGTTCAGATTACAAATTCAGCAAGTATTATGACTAAATAAAGATTCAAGATTGATAAATATATTTAAGAAAAGAAAATGGGTGATAACTGAGATCATATGTTGTTGTCAAGGAAAATAATCTGACCGCCAATGCAACGACTTCGGTATTTTCATCCTATTCAAATACCAACTTGAGAAACAATTAACTACTCAAAAAACATCATGTACATGGACATTTCTTGAAGGAAGAGTGATACACGGTAGTGCTACCTGTACATAATGTTTTACACACATGATGTGGTGACATATGATTGGGTCGAAATTCCTTCGACCAAATAAAAAAAACTTCTACTCTCTTTTTGACACCTCATTTATATGCATACCATTATACAACTCCTTATGTACAAGTAACATTATTCTACTGCACAGTAGAGAGAATACAAGAGAAGCAACTTTAGTAGAAAAACTAGGTGCCTATAAAACATTTGAAAGGCTGTCTGGTAGAATTTTTTTCCAGCTTTTCATCAATTTTTGGAC